CCCTTTGTACGAACAAAAGTAAGAGAAATTTAGGAGAAGAATACGAACATGTTCTTGCATGAGGCCCATTGTTCCCTCGCCCGGACACAAGTCACCGGCGTACAACTCTGGAGTCAGGCCTGTAGGTGGGGCACGTTGGCGAGTGCCTGGTGGCCAGGCTTTCACCCATGGAGCCCAGTCGGGCACAGCCCGAAGAGGAGATGTGGGTCCCCCTTCCCATGGGCTCACCACCTGTGGGAGGGGCCGAAGGGGTCGGGTGCAATGTGTGTTGGGCAGTGGTCGAAGGTGAGGACCTTGGCGGTCTGATCCTCGGCTACAGAAGCTGGCTCTAGGGACGTGGAATGTCACCTCTCTGGTGGGGAAGAACCTGAGCTGGTGTGTGAGGTTGAGAGGTTCCAACTAGATATAGTTGGACTCTCCTCGACACAACGCGTCCCTCCACCTACGAGTGGGGAGACGGGTCCTGACTGTTGTTTGTGCCTATGCGCCTAACAGCAGTTCAGATTACCCACCCTTTCTGGAGTCCTTGGATGGGGTGCTGGAGAGCGCTCCTAACGGGGACTCCCTCGTTCTGCTGGGGGACTTCGACGCTCATGTGGGTAATGACAGTGAGACCTGGAGAGGCGTGGTTGGGAGGAATGGCCCCCCCAACCTGAACCCAAGCGGTGTTTTGTTATTGGACTTCTGTGCTCGTCATGGATTGTCCATAACGAACACCATGTTCAAACATAAGGGTGTCCATATGTGCTCTTGGCACCAGGACACCCTAGGCCGCAGTTCAATGATCGACTTTGTTGTCGTTTCATCTGATCTGCAGCCACGTTTTGGATACGCGGGTGAAGAGAGGGGCGGAGCTGTCAACTGACCACTACCTGGTGGTGAGTTGGCTCCAGTGGTGGATGCCAGTCAGACCTGGCAGACCCTAACGTATAGTGAGGGTCTGCTGGGAACGTCTATCAGAGTCTCCCGTCAGACGGAGCTTCAACTCACACCTCTGGGGGAACTTCGAACACGTTCTGGAGGAGGTGGGGGACACTGAGTCCGAGTGGGCCATGTTCCGTGCCTCCATTGTCGAGGCGGCTTACCTGAGCTGTGGCCATAAGGTTGTCGGTGCCTGTCGTGGTGGCAACCCTCAAACCCGCTGGTGGACACCGGGGGTGAGGGATGCTGTCAGACTGAAGAAGGAGTCCTATCGGGTCTTTTTGGCCTGTGGGACTCCGGAAGCAGCCGATAGGTATTGGACTGTACTTATATAGCGCCTTTCTATCCATCCAGGACACTCAAAGCGCTTTACACTGCAGACATTCACCCATGCACACACACATTCACACACTGATGATGGCAAACTATAATTGTAGCCACAGCTGCCCTGGGGTGCACTGACAGAGGCGAGGCTGCCATACACAGGCGCCACTGGACCCTCTGACCACCATCAGTAGGCATGGCGTGTAAGGTGTCTTGCCCAAGGACACAACGACTGAGTCGACTGGACATATTGGCAGTCCAAGCGGATTGCGGCTCAGGTGGTCGCTGAGGTAAAAACTCGGGCGTGGGAGGAGTTCAGAGAGGCCATGGAAAAAGAGTTCCGTACAGCTTCGGGGCGATTCCGGTCCGCCATTTGGGGCGGTTCGCACTATTTATGGTGGGGATGGTGCGCTGCTAACCACATCTTCCCATGAGAAAGCAGAGCCTGAGGACCCTGGGTCCTGGGTTGGACTCTCCAATCTCTGGTGCTGAGGTCACTGAGGTGATTAAAAAGCTCCTCGGTGGCAGGGTGCCGGGGGTGGATGAGATTTGCATGGACTTCCTTAAGGCTCTGGATGTTGTGGGGTTGCATTGGTTGACGCAACTCTACAATATTGGTGGCAGTTCCCCTGGATTGGCAGACCGGGGTGGTGGTCCCCCTATTTAAAAAGGGGGACTGCCGAGTGTGTTCCAATTATAGGGGGATCACACTTCTGAGCCTCCCTGGTAAGGTCTATTCGGGGGTTCTGCAGAGCAGGGTCCGTCGGAGAGTCGAATCTCGGATTCAGGAAGAGCAGTGGGGTTTTCGTCCTGGTCGTGGAACAGCGGACCAGCTCTACACCCTCAGCAGGGTCCTGGATGGTGCATGGGAGTTCGCCCAACCAGTCGATGTGTGTTTTGTGGACTTGGAGAAGGCGTTCGACCGTGTCCCTCGGGGGCTCCTGTGGGGGGTACTCCAGGAGTATGGGGTACCAGGCCCATTGATGTGGGCTGTTAGGTCCCTGTATGACCGGTGCCAGAGCTTGGTCCACATTGCCGGTAGTAAGCCGGTGTTAGCCAACGGTTTGATGATAGACCCCATATTTGAGGAGGGGGCTCCTTTCAAAGAGGGGGTGTCAGGACATGTAAAAATGCTTATAACTCAGAAACTGTTCAACATAGGAGCTTCAGATTTCTTTTGTTGTTTAGCTCTGATGAAGCTCTATCCATCAGGCCAACCAACCCCCGGACCCCCAAATTATCTGAAAAAGGGATGTCTGGACATACAAAAATGGTTATTGCTCAAAAACTATTAAGCACAGGAGCTTCAGATTTTCTTTCGTTGTTTAGCTCTGAGGGGCTATCCATCATGTCAACCAAAGACTTCTGAGTTCTGGTGCATTTGTGCATGCAGGGGTCATTATGTTACCACTATGCGGTGTCTAGTTTATTATTTCGATTGTTATTATTTCCATAACATCATCTAAAATTAACAACATTTTAATATTTAATTTACATTTTATATTTATTGCATATCCAGACACCCCCTTCGGATGGAGCCCCCTCCTCAAATATGGGGTCTATCATAAAACCGTTGGCTGGTGCAGTGTAAGTCAGACTCCTCTACAGTCCTGCCAAATTTCATGTTGACCGGTGCAGCCGTTTTTGTGCTGCGGTTGACCAAAAATCACTGAAAAAATAATAAAACAAAATATTAAACTGTATGAAAACAATATGAGCCCTACTTCATGTGCAGGGGTGATCTTTTAATTTCCTCCATACTGTCTGAGCTACTTTCCACCGACTGTAGTCTTCCTTATCTGCCTCTACTCGGCATGACTTGTGTCTCCAGGGCCTAGCAGCAGCAGCTCCCAGGTCTGCCATAAACCATAAACATTTATTTTCAAAAGAAAAAAAATTAAGAACTTTCAGTAATATAAAAGTAAATTCCTGTTCAGATCCAGAGAAAACTATTAGTTTTGTGTGTGTGAAGGGATTTTAAATGTGTTAGTGCTGAATGTACATCCCAGTTAAATACTGAGAGGTGTAAAGCAGCTTGATGATGTGGTAACAGCACACTGAAAGGACTTCTGAGACAGATACTGTTTATTGTAACATTTCTTCCTGAAGTAAAAACAGTTCAGATGTGAAGGACTGAAGAGGAAAATAAATAAAAGAAATGAATGAACTGACAGAGCAGCCTGGTGCTGTGAGGGAACCTTTAATTCATGACTTTTTGTTCACCCAGACCTCTTTATATTGACCCACTTAATAAAATATGAAACAACTTGAGAAACAAAAAGTTTTGATGAACTTTCAGTTAGACAAAACTGAACATAACACAATGAAACATGCTAATTCTGTCCACCCTTTACACTGCGTCACTTTACTTTACTTAAATAACTTTTTTATTGGTTATAAGAAGTTTAAGTCTGTTGTCTTATAAACAGTGGTGGACAAAGTACTCAACTCTAGTACTTGAGTAAAAGTATTGATACTCATGGTCAAATCTACTCCACTACAAGTAAAAGTTACTCAGTCAAAAATCTACTCAAGTAAAAGTACTGAAGTACTTACTTTTGAAAATACTTAAGTATTC